CATAATTATAACGTATAACTTTCTTAATAATAAACTTAACTTGATCCATTATCTCCTCTTATAACTGTAAGAAGAGATCTGTTAAAGATCTTTCGCTATACAAATACTATTAAAAGAACTGGAATAACAATATATTATAAAATTTTTATTTACTTATAAATGTAAAAAAAATTTTTATAATTAAAATTGCAATTTTTTAATTTTAATTATAAAAAAATTTTTTTTACATTTACAAATAAACAAAAAATTCTAGAAAATTCTAAAAGAATATATATATTATTATCTTTATTTTAGTATAAAAATAAAAATATTTATTAATAAAATAACAAATTTTAATATAAAGAAACAATATCAATTTTAATATTTTTTTTCAATTTCTGGTAATATGGTATAGGAGTATATATATTATTTTTTGTATAATTATTTTTATAATAAAAAATTAGATATAATCTCTCAAAGTTTTTATTTTATATAGATCAATTAGTAATAATCAGAATTAAAAATCCAATTATCAAAAAATTATAAATTTATCAATTTGTTTTTTTTATTGATTCCATTTCATATATTGATTATGGATTTTTAGATTTAATTTAATAAGTGCAAATTTATTATAAAATTTTTATAATTAAAATATATAATTATTTATAAAAAATTTTTGCAATAACTTTGCAATTAGAATAACTTTGTCATTTTAAATTTAAAAAATCCAGAATAAATATATGTTAAAATATAAATTATAGTCTTTGGTTTGATATAAAAATAAAAAATATTTATTAATAAAATTAAAAACTTTTATATAAGACAAAAATTTCAATATTTTATTAATAAAATCACATGCATAATTTTATAATTAAGTTAGTTATTATATATTCAAAATTATTTAAAATTTATGTAATTAACAAATATAAAATTTTGTTTTAAAAATTAATTTATTAATAGCACATTTTAATAACATTTGCATTTAAATGAGCTTTTCTATCTTTAATTTGTTTTGGTTAATGTTTTTGATATAATTAATATAATTATATAATAATTTCTTAATTTATATCATTTATCATATCATGTATAATATTATATATAAACCATTTAGAATTCACAATCTTCATGATTTAATATTAAATTTATTGGTTATTTATTAATAATTTTATAATTTAAGGTGATGAATGTAAATGAAAGATACCACAGGGATATCTAATTTAAAATTTGTAGATAAATCATCAATTTCCTGTAATACTTTGTACTTTGAAATATTAGTTTGATCGAATTCTAATAAAGAAGAATCTTGTATACTATCCATAGAATAAGTTAATTTTGCGAAATTTTAATCTTTCATCAGAATTAGGTTTTTGTATGAATAATATTAGTTTTAGTAGTAATATAACGAGTTAAAATATTGACTATTTTTACAATGATAATTCAAACACTATGAGAATTTTTAATTACTAACTACATTTAAATAAATCATGCGATGACATCAATGTCAGATAAGAATCACAATATTGGCTGTGATTTATTTAAATGTAGTTAGTAATTAAAATGTGTTAAATATTTAAGCGTATTTTCACGTGAACGTTAAAATGATATGGTGCATAAAATCTAAAGTCATCAAACGTTTGTATTTTATAAATGTATAAACTTCTTTACTAAGAAATAAATACAAAATTTAATCCGTGAATATGCTCAGAAAAGGCCTATTCTATCATATTCACGGATTAAATTTTGTATTTACTTCTTAGTAAAGAAGTTTATACATTTTATAAAATACAAACGTTTGATGACTTTAGATTTTATGCACCATAGTGCAGATGTCAATTATTCAATACTGATACACTTAATCATTTTAATTAATTAATTATATCGATATAGTCGAAAACTGTGAAGTTACCATCTTTAGAATAAACAATGTGTATTTATGCATCAATATTGATACTATCTGTGTGACTAAACAATCAGTGTTTGAGATTATGTCAAAACAGGGTTAATGACAAAACAGTGTGTTGATTTACTATGAAAATCAAAATATTTATTTATTAATTATAATATAATCCAAGTTTTAGTTGATTGTCATTCGTTTTGTCCAATTATATATCATAGTCTATGATTTAAAATACACATACAAAAAATCATTTCTATAACAGTTATTATAAGAAATCGAAAAAATGGTTTAAATGAAAGATCGAAAAATCATAGTTATCGCCCAAATCTCTGATCACATTTCGAATACTTGTATAATCCTCTTAGTAGTATTGCATAATCGAATCTCGTATTGCCTGCAACATGACTATATTTTGAATTCTAGGTCAATATTAATTAGTATATAACATCGCCGATCACCACACACTTACAATATTTCAGTTAAGCGTATATGCCAAGGAGGAAACCCGTCAAGATCAATTTCAGGCGCGAATGTGATCAGCAATTGAGGTTCCGGGAATTGAGGAACTGATGATAAAAATAAATCAATCCATGATTTAGTTTTTAATTAATTTCACACAAAATGAGATCATGAAGCTGAACTTCTTCTCACCATTTAATCTTCGATCAACTTCTTCAATATCAATTTTATCACTTTTTGTTTTTCCCTTTAGCGTATCGTATACAAGTGACTTCGTCACCTTGACTATATGGCCACGACCATCTTCACGCGAAACCAAATTTACCTGTAAATCTTTTAATTTAATTGTTCGATTATTCGTATTGAGCAAATGATAAAAAGATTAAATCTAAAGTATATGAATAAACATACCGGGCACAAATCCATCATCCCCTTCAGTATTTTTGATTGATTGTGCAGATAAAAAATCACCACCACCGAGTGCAGAAACACGTGTAGTCGGTATAATCTTGTCATTAGCAAAGAACTGTCGCGTCGCAATCTCAATATGTGATTGCAGCAGATCAGCATTTGATTTAAGGTTATCTTTTTTATGATTAATTATTTGGATCAGTTCAATTTTGTTATTACTCAATGTATTCGCTCTATGCTCTAAGCTCACCCTTCGCCTCATAAAGGCTCAAAACTCTAATTCCAGTACACAAAGCCCAACAACACAGCTGCGAAATCTCGTTAAACCCTATTATCATTTCACTATTACTAGTTTTGGTTTTCTCTACGGTCTTTTCCTGCCTTTCCTCTCCAGCCTCATACTTTCTCCAGTACAACACCGCCAAGTGTTTAGGCACTTTCTCCAGTTGCTTGACATCCTCGCGTACTTTTCCGGGTGTCACCGCGTCATTGGTACGCTTTTGCGAGAAAACCAGCGACAAAGAGAGCCAAGTGATGTCTTTGTATATGGTGTAGCAAAAGTGTAGTAATGTTAAAAGCGTGACACGGAAAAAGCGTGCATTATGATATGTGTAGCAGTAATAGGATATTATTAGAGAGACGAGGATCGTGGAAAAGGCTAATAATAAGTACATTTAGTGGTATTCACAACTACTAATATCCAAGTAAACTAATAATAAAGAATGACTATAAATGGTAGATAATTAATATGTTTTGACTTCAGACACGTGTTCTTAAACGCACGTCTATCGTGTGAAACAACCACGTTAGTAATTACAATGACGTTTTTTGACAATCTCGATATTTATGAATATATTTGTTATATAGTGTATTATCGTTATTATTGTTATTATTATTGTTATTATTTTCGTGCAGTCATTATTACGCGTGCTTTCAGATGAAATCGAATCGATCAGTCAATCTTCCGATTGTAATATTTTTAAAAATCGTGAGAAATCAATAACGATAATAGAAAAGATCATATATCCCAAAAGTAAATAAAATGGGAGGTAAAAGAAAACGAAACATCCAAATTTCTCATAACATGGATTCTCCCGCTAACATTTTTAATCTCTTTTTTGTGTTCGGTAAGACGAAATAATTTATTATATTATCCATACTGTTATTTGGTATGGGTTTTTTTCGTGCTAATAAATTTTATCGTCGTGTTTCTTCTACCTGACAACTAGCTATACGAGTTCCTGAATCTGTATTTCTTTACTTCGCGTCACATTTATCTCATAAATTACACAAAATAAAATTCGACAAGAACAACAGGAGTTTCTTCAGTAACAACGCTATTACCGACACAGTCGCCACCATCACTAAAAAAGCACCCCCACCATCTTATAGCGCACCACCAACACTAAACCAAAGAATTCTATCGACATTCATAAGATCGGCCGAAGACGCACTATCACTCGAAGGACTTAAAAATTTATACAGCTTTGGAGCATGGATCGATACAATATCGCACGGGTTTAATTATACCAATAAATGGTACGTTAAACTCGATAATTCCGCCGGCTTTGAAGGGTATTTGGTCGCCGAAGATGCTGTCAATGCAAGACTTGGTGAAGATGTTGATCGGTTAATTTTATACACACATGGTGATTATTCATTTTATTTGGTGTTCATCGCAAAATGATGATGTTGACGGTGATTTCTATTTAGGGGGAGGATTTATTAGCGGTCATTCGCTAGTTTCGATAAGTGCTTTTGTCTATTGGATAAAAACCTGGAAAGCTAACCATAATGCCAAAGTGCAAATCTTAAGTCTGGAGTATCGTAAGTAATGATATTTTTATTACAAGTATTAGTAGTGGTAGCAGTTTCACTAATTCTTTTTCTATAAATAAATTCATATATTTTTAGCACTTTCTCCAGAAAATCCATACCCAGCCGCAAGAGATTACCTATTAAACTGCTATCGTTGGCTTATAAATGAACAAGGTATTAATCCCTCAAATATAGTATTTGGGGGTGACAGCGCCGGCGCAAATCTCTCAGCTGTAGCATCACTCCAAATCGTCAATTACCAAAAAGACGAACATAAACTCCCACCTCCAGCATCCCTACTGCTAAACTCACCACTTGTTAACACGGACACCAGGGCTGAATCATTCGCGAACGAAGAACTCGACATCATCAGTCTCGATTGGATGAGTAAATGTGCATATGCGTACGCGCGGGGAACCACGATGCGACACGAGTCCCCGGAGATTTCGCCGTTATTCGAGCCGGATATTAGTAAGATGCCGAGATTCTTTGCGAGTGTTGGTGAATATGAAGTGTTCCATGATGATATTAAGGCGTTTGCGAGGAAAGCTGAAGACCAGGGAGTTGAGGTCGATTTGATGTATGAGCCAGTTAATTATCATAATTTTGGAGTGTCTTTTTGGTTGTCGAATAATGGCGCTTATCAAAGAGCGGCGAAAAGGATGGGAATATTTTTGTTTGGGAAAAAATGATCGATTTTTTAGAATTTCATTGTGATCGATTTTTTTAGAATTTCATTATTGATTTTTGGTTTAACAATAAAGTACTTTTTTGGTTACATACATATCAATCTGCATTTATGATTCCCTAGAGAATTTCCGAAAAAAATTTGGTAAATCGGTCAATCAATGAAGTGTATTATTATGTTGTCTCGACTTTCACTCCATTAACTGTTATTGTATTACTCTCGAGTTTTGTGTACGTTGGCCAAGACAGTAATGACAATTAAAACGTCAAAACAAATACCAGATTTCCCCACTCATGGTTTACTTCCAAAAGAGGTTTATTTTGTTCGGTTATTTGTCTAATGCCTTTTTTTAAAAATTTCAACCTCACGTTGCGAATTCGTGACCCTTGGGGATGATATAGGAAACAGAAGCTGCTGCCTTTTTAAAAAAGTACCCCGATTATGATGGACGTGGTATAGTAATTGCTATACTTGATACTGGAATCGACCCCGGGGCTGTCGGTTTACAAGTATTTTTTTCACACTTACTTTTTACTCACAAACGCCTAAAAAGGACAAAAATAAAGACAAAAATACTCTTTCCTAAAAGATCACCACAGAAGGAAAGCCAAAAATTGTTGAAATGATCGATTGTTCAGGCTCCGGTAACTAAATCAATTCACGAACTTAACATTTTATCGGATGCTATATACATTTTTACTTCGTTCGAATCGCTGAATCATTACATAACGTGTGTCTTTATCGATTTATATATAATGTAGGTGACGTCATTACCAAAACTGTTGTGAAACCAAGCGTCAAAGCAAGTGGGTTAGAAACTTTGCATGTGATTCAAGGTTTATCTGGACGCACGTTAATCATCAATCCTAAATGGAATAATCCGTCGGGTGAATTTCGAGTTGGGATTAAAAGAGCTTTTGAACTGTTTCCAATGGTGTTGTTGACTAGACTTCAGCAGGTTCATCATTTCATGATTAATAATTTTTTGTATTAATTATTTCTCTTTCAAAAACGAATACTAAGAAGATGATCCATTATAATGATGTTGATGTTGATGTTGATGTTGATGATGATTGATTCTTGTAGGAAAAACGTCAAAGCGTTATCATTGATCATCACAAACTTCAAGTCGAAGTACAGAAACAAATTGCTGATTGGGAAGAAGCACATCCACCCAATTCTTCTCCCTCAGAATCAGATGTTCAACACAAGACAGATTTGGAAGCACGTGCAGATATACTTAGAGATTTAATAAAGAACTATGATACACCTGGTCCTATTTTCGATGTTGTGACTTTCTTTGATGGTAGTGATTGGAGAGTTGTTGTGGACGTTAACGAAAGTGGAGATCTAAGAGGTTATTATATTATTCTGACTTATTTTTTTATCATTTATTATGAATTTATTATATTTAAACGTTAATTTTTTTTATATTTTGCTTTTACGTAATTAGATGAACCTCTGTTAACAGATTTCCGTAAGGAACACAAATATCATACATTCAGTCAAGAAGATTTACTTAATTTCTCTGTAAATATCTATGATGACGGAAACGTCGTTAGGTAATGTTATAATCATTCTTTTTATAATAATCGTTGTTTATTCACATAATGTTATTATTTTTAGTCTTGTTGTTGCTACTAGCGGCCACGGAACCCATGTCGCTGCTATTACTGCTGCTTATCATCCGGATGAACCGGCGTTAAATGGGGTGTGTGAATCTCTTGATTTTTTTCAAATATTCAAAAACTTGTCAATTAATATATTTATAATAAAATTGATATTCAGATAGCCCCGGGTGCACAGGTTCGGCAACTATATAACTTTTCTTGATGATTATTGTTTGACTTTACGGCAGACTCATTCATGCATTTTTAATCCTATTCTTGATTTTTTTATAGATAGTTTCTCTCAAGATTGGTGACAATCGTCTAGGTAGCATGGAAACGGGTGCTGCTCTTGCTCGCGCAGGCATTGCCCTCGTGCATACACAAGTCGACCTTGCAAATATGAGTTATGGTGAAGCGTCTGCAATACCTAACGCGGGTCAATTCACCGAATTGATTCGTGACGAGGTTATCAATAAGTATGGGTGCATATTTTTGAGTAGTTCGGGAAATAATGGGCCTGCTTTGTCGACAATGGGGTCTCCTGGTGGTACTTCGAATGGTAAGTTAATAATTGATTTTATTGAATATTTCATAACTCAATATTTAAACAAGAACTGTGAAGATTATTGTTTTTTTACTCATTGGATATTTCAAACATTCATATTTTAGGGTTTATTGGTGTTGGAGCATATGTTAGTCACGCAATGGTACAGGCTGAATATGCACTTCTTGAATCTGTGCCCGAACGTCCTTTTACTTGGACTTCTCGTGGTCCGACTATTGACGGAGATGTTGGCGTAGATATTTACGCTCCTGGCGGGCAAGCATGATTTTTTATATGGTCATTCCCGCATAATTTTATTTTAACCTCTATCTTTATATTTTTTGTATTGACCTTTATATTTTGTATTAATAAATTTAGGGCAATAACATCAGTTCCTGTTTACTTACTACAAAAAGTTCAATTGATGAATGGAACTTCCATGTAATAATAGGTCGCATCAATCGTTGACCTTCATTGTTTTTCTTTCCCTTAACGGCTTTTTTCATAAATTATATTAATTTGATATTGGCTATTCATATATAGGGCTTCTCCAAACGCGTGTGGGTCTGTAGCTCTTTTACTTTCAGGACTAAAAGCCGAAAATAAAGAATACACTCCTTATCGCGTAAAAAACGCGGTAATTAGTTCAGCAAAATCGATTGATGACCCATTTGGAGTGGGATTTATTCAAGTGGACAAAGCATGGAATTTCCTACAGAGTTACTATGATCGCGCTGAACAGGATTTATCTTTTGAGGTAATAATGTTACTTTTTATGTCTTTGCTCAAGTATATATTTTTGATTAGTAGCATCAACTTCAATCTTGAATAATTAACTTATAGATCAGTATATTCGGATCTCCGCGTGAAAAACGTGGCATTTATTTACGCGAAGCACAAGAAACTTCTACAGTTCAGATATTCACTGTGGAAGTCGAGCCAAAGTTCATGTCTGCGATTGATCCGACATCTGGAGAAAATAATAACCGAAAATACGAATTTCAGAGTCGTGTTGCGTTGATTAACACTGAGAGCTGGGTTCGAGCTCCTGAATTTTTGTTATTTGGAAGTCAAGGTATCATTGTGATTGTTCGTATAGTTCTAGTTTATAAACGGACGAATGAATAAATTCTTGGAATTGAAATCGTATAATTTATTCTTGATAACATTAATAAGGTCGAAGTTTCCAAGTAAAAGTTGATCCTTCGCAACTGGTCCCAGGAAAATTTTATTACGCCGAAGTACAGGTATATCGATTATTCTTGATAATATGGAGTTCAAGTCATAAAAAAGTGATGACATTTGTTTAATCTTGACAATCAGGGCTATGATACGAGTTCGCCGTTCCCAACCCCATTATTCAAAGTGCCTGTTACAATCGTCAAACCATCGATTTTGAACAGTGGGACAAAATATTTGCTTAATTCCTTATCCTTTGGACCGGGACACATTGAGCGAAACTTTGTGAAGGTCCCAGATGGGGCAACTTTTGCAGGTAAATTTCACTTCACATTTGGTTCATTTATATTATTATTACTGAACAGTAATTTGGTATAAATTCTCGAATTACTTTTACTGTGCAAAGACGTGGTGTTTCGTTTTTCAGCCACACAAAATACCGATCCGGCTCGTTTATGGGTTCACCTGCTCCAACTATCGCCACAATCACGATTCACGAAATACGAACGCGAGTATTATTTCACGATAGGCAAGGGCAGTTATGGTAATTCGAATGGTGATGAACAGATTGAGAAGAAACGGTTTGCTGTTCTTGGTGGGGTAACACTTGAGGTGTGTAGAAATCTTTTTTCGTGATCATTTTTATAAATAATTTAAGTGTAATGTGTCAACTAATCTTTTATTATTTAGGTTTGCCTTGCACAATTTTGGTCAAGCCTGGGAAATCATGCAGTTTCACTAGAGTTTACATTTCACGGTATTCAACTGGCAAATCACACTGCCAACGGAGAAAATGTAGCATTTATTAACGGCGGGGATGCATTTACTCGTTTGGATATAGTTGCCTCGGTGAGACGGGAAGATGAAATTAACCCTTCAATCAATCTAGGTAATCTATTTATTATAATAAATATTACAGTTAATGAACACGATTATTCATGAGTAAATAATTATCATTAAAAATTCCCATAGATACCCTTCGAAAAGCTCTTCGTCCGACTGAATATTCTTTACGTCCACTGAGTCCAGAACGAGATATGCTTCCCAATTCGCGACAAACATACGGGTTACAACTCACATACACGTTCAAAGCCACCGAAAATAATCAGACTGTTACACCAAGGTTCACTGCATTTTTCGACTATCTATACGATGCTTACTTTCAAGATTTCTTTGCCATTAGTTAGTATATACTAATATTTATACAGTTTATCATATAGTTTTATAAGTTATTGACGATAGCTTTGCTGCACCTTATTTTATTTAGTTTACGATGCGAATAAAAAAGTGATTGGTTACCTTGATATTTACCCGAAAAACGTTAAGCTGGAAGTAAAAGGAGACTACACAATCCGCGCACAGTTACGCAATGATTCTCATGAACTCTTGGAGAAACTAGCAAACACCATCTGCCTACTCGACATTTCTCTATCCAAAAAAGTGAACTTGGAAATTTACTCTCAAGTATTTGACATTTTCATCTCCAAAAAGACAGCTGGAAGATGTGCCCTCGAGAAAGGAGAACGAAAAGCTTTATTTGTTGCGTCGCCACAAGACTACAATGTTTTTCCGAAAGAGGCGAAATATGGCGACTTGTTGGTCGGCAACCTGAATTTTGTCAATTCTTTAAGAACCGATGGTGGTCAATACAAGGTGATATTTGCTGTTCCGCCGGCACCGGTCAAAACCAAGGAACCGACGCCATCTGGCGGGACTGGCGGCAGTAAAGGCAAAGATGGGGAAAAGGAAAAAAGCAAAGAAGAGACAATTTCGATACAGTTATCAGAGTCTATTCGCGACACGCAAATTGCCCATATACGGAAATTCCCAGCAGATTCGACGTCCCGTAAGGAACTAATAGCCGAACTAGAGGATAAGCATCCGACGCATATACCGTTATTACAGACGAAATTAGAAGTATTATTTGAAGGGTTAAACGGAGCTATGAAACCAGAAACGGCTAACGCCGTTATTGAGGTCGCAGACCAAATCCTTGCGAACATCGATTTCACCGAATTATCAGCATATTACGGTGTCAAGCAAGAACTTAACAACGAGGCCGCCAAAAAGAAAAAGAAAGAATTCGACGAGAAGAAAAAAATAACAATATCTGCGTTGCGCTGTAAAGCACAATCTTTAGCTGTCCTTGCTGATAGATCAAAAACAACATCATCTTTTGATTCATCATCATCCAGGGTTAACATTGAAGAACTGGCAGCACAATTTGAAAAAACCTATCAGACTGCCATGCAATGGCTTGACGCAACCAGTGATCTAAAGAACTTATTATTGTACGTGACGCATGAACGTCGTGCCCATCGATACGGAAATGCCATAAAGGCCATCAACAAATACTTGTCTGAGCAAGGACTCACCAAAGAAAATGTAAAAGAAATTGAGAAAGCAATTGGTTTACGACTGGAATTGCTACGTGAATTAAACTGGGATATTTGGATAGCATATGAAGAGAAATGGAAGCTCATTCGTGCGCCGCCTGGTGGATATGCACCTTTCTGAATTGTGAGAATGATGAGATTAGTCAAATATAATTTTATATAAATTCACAAAATTTTGTTTTTTCTTCAGAAAATGTAAATTATTTTCTATATAAATTAAATTATTATTTATATTTAGATAAATAAAAATAACGTCAATGACTATAAATACACAAGATTTCTTAATGATTAAGTTGTTCAAAAAATTGAACTTTGCTTTTGATCCCAGGACAAATCATTGACGCGGTAGTCGCGTCAGATCGCAATAAACCAACTTCGTCGAGCAGGTAGGACAAAGAAGGCCGATGCGTTAATGAATTAGCAAGCACATTAAGCTTAAAAGATTTCAATAGGAGCAGTTGTGATGACAATAAAGAAGGATAAAGTGACGAGGATTTGGTAATATATTGTGCTGGTAAAACAGAAATATCATTAGATAAATTGATTGAGAGATGAATAAATCTATTATAGTATTACTCACTTTTCATTACTCCACATCGTCGCATATCATCAACACTTGGACGATTTTTCAACTTTTTAGAAAGTTTATCTCGTTGTAACGCAATCTTCAACGCTTTCATTTTCGGAACTAATGAAGGGGCAAGCCAGAATTTAGTTTTAGTTTTCTTTCTAATAACTCGGTCCTCATGAGATGATGATGATGGTGATGCCGCCTCTTTCAATATATCATCATAATTTCCTTGAAGCAGTTTGGAGGACATTAGTAACACTCTACGCTGATAAAGAGTACAAACAACTTCTTGTGGCACTAAATTCTTCTCTAACAAGACGCGTAACTCGGGACGTTGTGCAAGTCTACGTGACAACTTATTTCTTGTGAAACTCCGCTTCAACAAGGACTGAGCTTCATAAGCGCAAATCAGTTGCGCGTGATTAATGTATCGTCCTTGTCTTAGTTGCTCGAGAAGCGAGACGCCACGCAAGATATTTTGAATGGCGAGTTGTTCACGTGTTCGGCGTTGTGCTAGAGTTAAGAGTGTTTCAAGACGATACGCGTTTTGGTTTAGTCGGTGACGATACAGAATTGCATCTTTGCTGAGACGTTTGAATCTTTTATTTGTTCTTGAGATTGAAAGCAAATCTGTGTCGTCGACAAACTGTTCGTAATGGTAATAATTAATAAAAAAGAGCAAAGATAAATGACATTGATAATGGTAGAGCAAGTGAATTAGCAACATGATAGATTAATTGACCTCGAATATTTTAACTAATATTTCTTCTGGCAATCGCTCAATGTAACGAGTCATTTTTCGTAGGAATTGCCAAGAGACAACGGGGTAAAGCTAATGGAGCCAAGAGAGAGCGATATATATATATATATATATTCAACAGCCAATCAGAATTGATGAAACATGTTCGGTAATGATCCACATTCTATAAAACTTTTTGATTCATCTTTTAGTTTCTACCCAACATACCCAACATCCCTTTGATTCATAATGGTAGGTTTTTCTTTTTTTTGGGATTGATAGGTGAGAGTATTTTAAGATGCCTACCCATCCATTATTTATTTAACCTATCATTTGTTCAAAAAATTTGGGCAAGTTGAAATTAAAAATAATTCAAGGACGATTTTTTCGCGCGACCAAAAATAATTATTAAATTCACCAAATAAATTTAATGGGAATCAGGAAACCACAAAAAATGTAATGCGTTTTTTTGCGGAAATTTTATCTAATATTTGGGTCGTTTGTCTCGATTAGACGAAGGGCACCTCAAGTTTCGGTAAACGCCACACAAAGACTCACACATTATGCCGTCGGTGTGGTAGACGCGCATTCCACAATCAAAAAAAAACCTGCGCGCAGTGTGGATATCCTTCTGCAAAGACTAGAAGTTGTACGTGTGTTAATTCAAATTTACTATTTTTCAATGAACGAAATTTAATTTGATCTTTAATCAATCAATCAATCAATTATTTATTTATTTAGATAATTGGAGCGAAAAAGGCAAGCGCAGAAAAACCACTGGTACTGGTCGAATGAGGCACCTAAGACATGTTCCACGTCGTTTCAAGAATGGGTTCCGTGAGGGTAATTATTAGATTTCTGAATATTCTGAATATTCGATAATTATATATTTACGAGTATAAATTAATAATCATTGTTTATTTTATATGAAATAACAGGTACCTACGCTAAAAAAGCAGCCACCAGTTCTATGCAAGTTGATTAGTCAATAATAATAAAAGAATGAACGAGACTGAGTTGTGTGTGAGAAAAGATTATCATCGTCAACGTACGAACGAATTTTTTGAAATGATAATTGTTTAATAATAAATTAAAGCTTTAGAGACTAACAATGAAGCGAAAAGCGCTGAATCGAACTTAATCAGTAACTTTTCACTAATATTAATAACCACATGATGCCGTTAAAAAATAATGACACAATGATACCAAGCACCGAATATCGTGTTCCAACTACTTAAACTACCAGGATAAAAAACATGACAAGTATAACTATCTACCAACAAGAAATATTAAATTTACTATATTCGGAGATTTCTATATAAATAAATAAATAACAAACCAAGAATTTCGCTGATTACAATAGTCTAATTAGCTAGTTCATTCTAATGGTCAAAAATTAAAAAAAAAAACTAAAAACGCCGATCGAATGAATGGCAACATAGAGATCGGTTCGTATTTGATTGTGCTTTAATGATGAATTACTCTATGCAAAAATGTCCGCCAAAAATCACTTTCTGACCAGAAAAACAATAACATTGGCATCATTATTCTCGTTATTGTTATTACTATTATTGTTAAAAGGATGAAGATGCGGAAAAAACAAAAAGCCTTTCTGGCAAAATCTATAACGCTTGAAAAAATTGAAATTACAGCGCATTTTTACGTGTTAAGTCGTCGAATCGCTTAAATGTGTATCCAACAAACGCTAGATCTTTTTGATTGAATTGAGAATGATCTGTTGATTTTTTGGTGCGTGAATAGAAAGTCATTAAAAAAATGTGTATTAAAAAACTACCGATTTTCACAAAATTTAATTGATAGCTTACCAGCTGTCGGCGGCTGTTCCGGAATCTTTTCTAAATCTTCAGTCGGGAAATAGCTAGTATCAGTTATAGATGTCAATACGGGTACAAAGGGAGCCGAAATTGTACGGATGGTGTCCCACGTGACGCCTGAGAAAAACGGATGACATTTGATTTCTTCGCCGCCGTGACCACGTCCGAGTCGTTGTTCAGGAGCGCAAATGAGTCTAGATTAGGACAATATATAATAATATACTTAGATTAGTATTCCTGAATGTTTAAAGAAATGAGTGCGTGAATGTTTTAATGATAAGGCGATATATACCGTCGAATTAGATCTTCGCTTTCATGACTTAAATGAACATCTTCCGGAAAATACAATTGATCCCGCCAATTAATAATTTTTCGGTAGGTCTCGTGCGCATTCTCACTACAGAATGGAGGATATCCAACAAGACATTCAAACATGATAGCGCCAAGTGACCACCAATCACATTCTTGACTATATCCTTTTTGCAGGAAAATCTCAGGAGCAATATAATCTGGAGTGCCTACTGTCGAATAGGCCTATTATATTAATTATAAATTAGAGTAACAGTTATTTAATATATTAAGAAATTAATTAACTCAATTCAAAGGTTTATTATGATTATTATAGTTACCAAAGCCCTTCGATTTATCTTCCAGGTAGCAATTCTGTCTTTACTCGATAAAGTTAAATTGATGTTGTGCTCACTCGGTAATTGACGATGACCTCCTCCATTAGACCCGTTAAGAGATCCATCCAATAGACGTTGATAGTATGCGGAATCGTGTGTTTTATGGAACCCTGTTGATAGACCAAAATCGGATAATTTAATGTGTCCTTCGTGATCAATTAGAATATTATCCGGTTTTATATCTCTGTATTTTTATATCATAAAAGGCTGTTTGTTAACCTATATAAAATATAGTTGCAAGAAAGTTAAAAGATATGCTTACCGATGAATAAAACCCAATTTATGAATGGTATCGATTGCTAACACACATTCAGCAATATAGAACCGAGTCACATCCTCTGAGAAAGTATCATACTTGATTAACATTGTCATTAAATCGCCACCCGGCAAAAATTCCATAATAAGATACAAATATAGAGAATCTTGAAAGGAATAGAACAATTGAACAACCCACGGCGAATCAGATTCGGCAAGGACATCTCGCTCTGCTTTGACGTGTGCCAACTATCGTGCAAAAAAATAATATATATAACAATAATTATGAACATCATAATTCTTCGTTATTATACTGTAGAGGTAAAAAGACAATTCAATTCAATCACCTGATCCTTTTTGAACATGTCTGCCTTTCTCAGAGTTTTCATTGCATATATTTTTCCGGTGTCTGACTTTTGTACTAGTCGAACCTTGAATATTTGATTTTAAAATTTGAATTCCAAATAATAATATAAATCAGAAATATTATATATACATATATATCATTTCTATTTACCTCGCCAAAGGCACCTTTACCAATAACTTTAACTGTATTGAAATCATCTAAACCTAATCTCGTTCTTCGGAGTCTCAAAAACTGTGACTCTTTTCTGCCTAAAGATTGAAATTGTCTGTTCCGTCGGTCATCTGAACAGGGATCGTTTTCCAATTTTGCTTCAAGTTCCTGACGACTTTTCAGTAGAGAAAAGGGGCATGGGCATGAATACATTTATTTATAATATTTGTTATTTTGTTCAACCAGCTACTGGATAATCTAATTCTTCTTTCTCTTCAATAAAGCATAGTGTGGTAGTGAGGAGTGAGTTTTATTATCATTACCGTTGGTTTCTTTCAATAGCTTGTTCCAGGGTGATTTTGTAAAAGTGTTCTAGTTTCAATTTTGCTGCCGTCGATCTATCCAGCGTTCCCTTGGGAAATCCTTCAGTTGACCTTTGGAAAACCGCGAAATCTTGGTGGCCGTTATTCGAGTTTGGACCAAACCCCGAAGACTGTGAATTATTTTGTATGTTATTATTATTATTATTATTACTATTATCCATATCGTGATCGGCCATGTTCAAAAGATGGTGGTGGGTGAGCGGTGTAAAAGCGCAAGGCGAAAAACTTGATTTTAAAGAAGGTTAACGTTAATAATGTAGGTTAATAAAATAATTTACAAATATTTATTATTATATGAAAGACGATGTACTGTGGAATATTATGTGTACGAAAAAATAAATGCGAAATTTGTTTTTTAAAAGTAACACAAGATAACCATTGCTGACATCCCGATAACACAGAAATGTTTTATTATCGTTATCTAACGCTAACATTCTTTGACGCTTTTTTTTATTTTCAATTGTTACTTCTAAAAATATATAAAATGGAAGAAAATCTAAAACGCGCGAGTAATAATCTTTTAATAATCTTTTGGATATCAAAATCAACTATCAACAGCAAGATAAAGAAAAAATCAAAAAATCCATAATATATAATAAATAAGAGTGAACAAAATATATCGCTAGCGCTTTTCAAAATGTAACTTTTGAACTTTTCAAAATCTTTTAATGAAAAAAGGAAATCGAAAGCAGGAAATCTATATACAGCGAGAATGACGAGTAAAAGAAAAAAAGAAATCTAATTTTAATTGTCAACGATCGATTAATTGATTAATCAATTAACCAACTAATCGACCCACGTTTGTGTGGAATAAAGAGAAAAAAACTCAAGAAATAAAAAGGGTATAAATTCTAAGAATAAGATCCAGTATATAATAATTAGGAAAGGCAGGAAATGAATCCACAAAAAAAAGGTAAAGCGGGAATCAATTCTATTAATAATAATGATAATAATAATGATAATCATAATAATCACAATAACATCATCATAATAAATAATAATCATAATCATCACCATCATAATGATCATAATAGTAATAATCTATTAATATTCTTTTTATTCGTTGAATGATTCGGTCATTCATTCCTCTTCAGAACTATTTCCGCTATTTTCTTCGTTTTCTTCCTTTACTCCATCACCACCATCAATTATAGCTGCAGGAGCAGTGGCAACAGCAGTTTCAGCGTCAGTGGCACCAGCTTGCCAATTTGTTGCTTCTTGAGTTTCTCGTAATTGCACTGGAGCTGTCTCAGAAGTTGTTTCACGATTCTCGTAATCTTCTTCATCGTTTGGGTGTTCATCTTTAACTTCCGAATCTCCACTTGTATTTGGCTTGGCAGGATCAATTAGTCGCCCGGATTCTACTGCTCGAAGTCCAATTTGGCGGGCTTTTTGAAAGATTTGAATTCTATTTGTTGAATTGTTGTGATAAATTGTTAGTTATAATTCTATCTTTTGCAATTCAACAAATTAATCATAATTTCATACCTAGTTCTCTCCGGTTCAAATTCCTTAATGACCTGCTCCCAATCCCCTTTGTGTTTATCATGCGCTGCTCTCAACTTTGCAACTTCTTCATCAGTCCAAAGCTGTCTTGGAGCTCGCCTATGTTTCGGCGCAGTTTTTTTGCCGTCCGAATGGTAGCCATCCTCTCCACTCTCCTCACTCTCATATTTTCTTTTATTAGATCTAATTATTTGGGTTTCGGGGTACGCGCTACTACTACTGCTTGCTAGTGCTGCCGCGCCTCCAGAGGTACTAGCATTCAAACTACTCGTCATATTTTTGAAAATCATATTTGTCTCATTAATGAATGAGAGCGAATCTCCTTGGATACCCGGAGAAAGAAAAAGAGACACATCTGTTTCGCGAAGAAGGTTCGCAATGCCTTGGTAATAGTCTGCCGAAAGTTCAAGACACTTTTTTTGCTAGGTGTGTGTTGTGTCATTTAGTACATTAGATAATGGTATAAAAAATTTTGTAATGATAAGCTTTGGTCGGACGAGATAATATTCAACACTTACAAACTCGTAAAAGTTATGGATGGCTGCTTTCTGGCGTGGCATAAACATTGTATTAGTGTTGCTGTAGTTGTTAGCAGTAGTAGTATTAGAGTGGTGGTGAGAAGGTCTCGAAGAATAGTCTTTGGTAATCTTAAATTTATATGTGGGTGTTGGCGTAATTTTTGCAATTGGTGGTGGTTGTTGTTCTGGTGGTGGTTGGGGTGGTGGTGTATTTTTTGTCATTTCACGACAATAACTCTGCACATCAAATGAGTGCCAATATATCCAAATATGTAAGACGGAAAAAAAATTCGGAATTCAACAATAGATAACATGATAATGTCGTGGCATCACTTTACATGGAAATTATGTAATTTTTCGGCGAAATTACGAATCAGTGATATAAGAACTCGCATATTCACATGACCGACTAATTTGTGTTTTTTGGTCATTATCTATTTTCTCGGCCAATCGTATTATTACACTTGACAAATCCCACAACCACCAATCATCGTTCACTCGTACATAAAAGCCCTAAAAACGTATTTTTTTTTTGACATTTTTAAAGCACCATAGACAGTAGTGACTATTCGTAATAATAATTGATTAGTCACTTATTCATGTATTGTGCTGAGATAAATGTCAAAAATCCATATTAATCACGGCACCGAACACTAATTTATCTACGTTAGAGATGCCGTTTCATGCTGTGGATACATTTTCTCTTAGTGACAATGAGTGTCATGTATTTTCATAATAACCGCGTAGTTCAAAAGTACATTCAATTATATTAACATAAAAAAATAAAGAATTTTAAAAATCAGCAACCCTCCGTAATCCCATACTCTCAAACAATCTAGAACGTTTTTCATTAGCATCTTGGCCGAACATTCTTTTCATGGGAACTTGAGAATCTTCGTCATCAGGCCTATTTATTATAGAAAACACGTATCGCGTATTAAGAGAGCGAATTTACCTTAAACGAGGATAATTACAATTATACATGCCATTTCACTTTTACCGCCTTTTTCTTTAGCATAGTATCGCAAGTCGACCAACTAAATCGTAATATTCGTGGAAACCCAAAAACAGGATCTACATTTGAACGTAGCCAGTTCACCGTATTAGGATCTACACAATATAATTGTATTAATAGTAAAGTGTGAATTCAAAAATGCAATTGAAATATTAATTAAGCTCATTTACCTGAAGGATACCCAGACCCAAACTCACGAGAAACTTCACCTTTCAATCTCATTTCTTCAAACTCCCATTTCTTTATTACGTGATCCCGAGTAACCTTTGCACAAATGCTAGCTGCACTAACGATTGGAAAAGTACTATCAGCTTTATTTGCCACAGTGATTTCGATCCCTTGAAACAAGCGTTGAAGTTTTGCTTGATAGGTTTTTGAAGGACCAACCGCGTCAACATATATCTTAAAAAACAAATTAATAATAATATTATTAATATAATTGCAAAATAATTTTTATAATAAAAACCTCGGTCAGATTTATTCCCTGTGCTAAAACATCACGTATCAAATTGATGGTGGTGTCGTGCGCTTGCGCATTCAAATTGTATTTGTTTCTAGTGAAATATAAGAAAGAACACGTTAATTACTATTAGTAGTAATGAACGAATTCACATGTGATCATTATCGTAGCGTGTTGTTAGATTATTATGAAACAAAGTTCTCGCACCTTTTCAACATGTTTGCGGATATTTCTTGAGGCGTCAGAACACGAACCGCCCATCCAAAAATATCAGATCGCGACATTATAACCTTGATGAGTGATTCACGGGTCACTTCATTTAGTGTTTTAGAATCTAATATAGAGAATAAATATATCAATTTAATAAATTTCAATTGAATCACGTACAAATATTAGAGAATAGATAATTAACCTGCAAATCCTAATTCTTTGATGTTATCTTTTTCAGATAAGGGACAATAACATACACCATACACCATGGGACCTTAAAACGCGTCGTAAATATTATTATTTGGATTTAACGAAGTAGTCAGAAAAACCAAAATGAAACCGAGGAATGAGAAGTAATAAATAATGTTCCCAACCAAGCACAGGCCCTCGTCCTGCTTCATCAACGCCAAGAATGCAAGGCTGATTTTCCTGGTCGTCTTTTGTTAAATTAGTCGCTTTCGCTGAAATATAAGTATATGAACGAGTGAATAGACCACCTTCTGATAATGAAGGCAGAATGATCTCTTCTTTAGTCTCAGAACTATTGGTAACTATTTCAGTTGGTGAGTCAAACGATATCAATTCGTCGGTTTCAATGTCCATTTCTTCCATTTTAAAATTGAATGATAAAGTCGCGTGAAACACGTTAAAACTTTTCTATGCGAGATCTTCATTACATAATTTTTCCATATTCGTGGAATTTACCTCAACTTGTGATGAATCTACCTCAACCTTGATAACCATTGTAATGAATAACATTAACGGCGGTAGTTTCAGTCTTGGTCTGAATAATAACTTTAATAACAGCGATCCATTTAATGGCGGTCCAAAACCAGATATTATAATACAAGAACTTGACAGTGAAAAAATAAAGTTCATATTAACTAATACAGAGTTGAGGTATTATTAGAAAATTGTTTTGATTTTTTGAGTAAAATATGAATATAAAATCTTTGTAAAATAGTGTTGCTAATGCGTTACGACGTCTCATGATAGCCGAGGTACCAACTATAGGTAAAGAAACCTGTAAATACCTCCCTTATATACATATGACATACTGTGTCTGAATAACTTGTTTTTTATTTCTTTTATATAGCAATCGATATGGTTGAAATTGAGCTAAACACCTCTGTCCTTGCAGATGAGTTCATCGCACATAGACTCGGGTTAATTCCATTAGATAGTATGGAAGCTGAAAAAATCAAATATACACGGGTCAGTTGAGAGAAAACATTTCTCTTTCGTATAGTAAATCAGCTGGATCGTTGTATATATCTTTTTCTCAGACAAGAGCCACGTAATATTTAATTTTAGGAATGTAACTGTTCTCAATATTGTCCAAATTGCTCGGTTGAACTAACACTACACGCAAAATGCGTTCAAGATGGTCAGTCACTTGAAGTGTGCAGTCGTGATTTACAGTCAAGTGATCCACGAGTGTCTCCTGTTTTGAAAGGTTCGTTGGCTGTATCTTGGGACCATATTTTTTATTCGGGAGAAGAATTCTTTATTTTAAGCAAGTGATATTTTTTTACGCAAATATTTAGACGATAATGATAAAGGAATATTGATTGCTAAACTTCGTAAAGGACAAGAATTAAAAGTTAAGTGCGTGGCAAAGAAGGTAATATCGATGAGATTATTTATCTTGACTGATCTCAAAATCTTAACATTCATCAATTTCTAATTTCACAATTTCATAATTAAAAGGGTGTCGCGAAAGAACATGCTAAATGGAGTCCATGTGCAGCTGTAGCTTTTGAGTATGATCCACACAATAGATTACGACACACGCATTATTGGATTGAAGAGGACGAAAAAAAGGAATGGTTTGTCTGTTATTCTTTGCACTTTGGTAAAAGAAATAAAACTTAAATGGATCTTTGTGTTGATTTACTGGTTATTTGCTTATTTCACCGTGAAGAATTTATTGTAGCTATTAAATTTATTCCTTTTATTTTGGGTATCATTAAATGTAGGCCTCCTGGTCCGAACGCGAATCAAGAACCACCTATGACCGATGACGAGCGTAAGTTGTTCTTTTTTTAATGCAAATCATTTTTATTTATATAAATACAAATATTCACTCGATTTTTATTTTTACAATTCTTATAGCATTTGACTATAACGCGACCCCTAATAAATTCTACTTTACCGTAGAAGTGAGCTTCAATTATTTCTTTTCTTTCTAAAAACATAAAAATTTTTTATTAAATCATGCATATATGTATGTGTATGTAATAATAATAGACAGTAGGATCCATCAAACCCGAAGAAATTGTTATGTCTGCATTGAAGCGGCTACAAGAAAAACTAGGGATGCTTCAAATCGCATTGGCAGATGACACGACTGAACAGCTTCATTTGCAGCAACAGCAACAAAGACAACAAGAACAGCAAGAAGCGCAGGAACAAGCGTTGTTGAGGCAACGGTATATCCCACAATCTGAAGATAATCTCTCATTCTCCTGATTAACGTGTTTGGTTTTTTATATACCGATACATTTTCTGTTTGAAATGATTGTGAAACCACCTCACGAAGTATCACAAATAATAAAATACTCCAGAAACGATACACGAGTTTTATTCTTTCTAGAGACTTTGATTATTTATATTGTTTGTGATAAGGACTGTTATCTTAATTTACATAAATGAAAACTAATGTATTTCAGAATATAGAAAAACTACAGTGTTCCGCCCTTCTCAACTGAAAGATTGCTGTATTATATGATATGCATACAATTAAAAAAGTTTCATTCATTCTCTGTGTAACCTAATGAATATCTTCCTAGCCATCGCTCCCGGAATCAAAATACACACAATGTATTTAATCGTTTGGCCGCAGTAAACTCCATATATCTCTGAAAATGCGGCGTCCCAGACTCCCCTGTTCAAGCTGTCAAACCGCAAAACGAATATCCACAAATAACGAAGGATCCAACACAATCAAAATGTAAAACATATTTCAAAGAATTATAAAAACGTGTACGGTACAGAAATGTGAATAATACTACGTGACGCTTCACGTAGTATTACCTGACCCAATACCGCCTACGGCGATCTACGATAATCTAACTCAATCCTAGTTAGGAATCACGTGAACAAGGAACGTATACAATTTAAAGAAAGCGGCACGCCGCAATAAATTTATTTATGTTTCATGTATAACAACTTTAACTTTGCTTTACGCTCCTCTGATCTCTGTACATGACTAACTTTATTAGTACTGACCTCCGGCTCATCGTTCTTTAATTTTAAATTATCATTAGTATCTTCAATTAATTCTTTCATATCCCATATCCACATGACTTTTTTTCTTACCATCTTCTTCCATTTCCTTAGACTTGATTTCAATAAATTCTCTAGCTTGCGAAAAGAAAAGTTTGGCCTCATCTTTGCTATTATTAACAATGCGATATTGATTACCTATAATAGTAAAAATATTTAATCACACATAATAAAATCATAATATATTTTGATAATATATTTTTACCTCTTGGAATTAGGAATTGCCCACCAGCGGGAACTCGGAAGGTTGTTTTGTGAGCAGTGACACTGATCTTTCCTTTGATTACATAAAATATCTATTTGTATTGAATTCGAATTAGAAATGAATAAATAGCTTAGCACGAAATAAATTGATAAATTTTATCATACCATACTACTATCTTTAGAATTCTTCGAAGGTTTCTCGGCTCCTTTCGGTAACACAAGAACACCACTCGATAGAAACTGCCCCTCGGAAAATGTCTTTTGGAACTTGTACTTATAAGTGACAACAGATTTTGGTTTGAGCATTGATGGCATGAAAATAATATCTATAATAAAAATCTATTCTTGTTAATAATATAAATATCATTATTGTTGTTTGTATCATTGTAACTTACGACGAGTAACAGCTTTTCCAGTTTCCCAATCTAATATTTCTATTTCACCATTAGATTGACGAATTTCATCATCATAAGCATCGTCACCGTATTCCTCGTATTCCTCATCCTCCTGTTCCTCCTCCTCCTCTTCTATTACTCTTTTACGCGACTTTTTTTTTTCTGTAGTCGCACGTTTCTCAGTAGTCGAATGTTTTCTCGGTGGTGGACGAATTACCTCCTCGTCATCAGAAATGGTGATAATTTCTTTTATGACTGGCACTGGTACTTTTGAACCTGTGAGGATGGGAATAGGATATTAATAGTGCTCGGGAAATTTCATTTTTTTTCATCAATTAAATTTATATAATATATATAAACCTTCGGCTCGCCCATAAACAACTTTTTCGTTTTTCCAAAATTTCAATGGCCTAATTTTTCTACGAGTACTTCTCCGCACTATTTTTTCATTAATTGCAATTTAATCATCAATCAAAAAATAATCGAATAAATAATAAAATAGAATCAACACGTACATCCCTGCTCATTTTTCATCTCTGGTTTATTATTCTTTTCGGGTTTACTACGATTTATTCCAAGATCAAAAGGCTTATCACTGACGACTATTTCATCTTGTTCTTCTGGCTCTGGCTCTGTTTCTGATTCTGATTCTAGTTCTAGTTCTAGTTCTGGTTCTGGTTCTGGTTCTGGTTCTAGTTCTGGTTCTGGTTCTAGTTTTGGTTCTGGTTCTGGTTCTAGTTCTGGTTCTGGTTCTGGTTCTGGTTCTGGTTCTGGTTCTTCTCGTTCCATAACAATATCCATGGATACCTCGTCAGATAGCGTTGATTCAATTCTACTAAGATTATTACTATTATTATTGTCATCGTCATTGTTATTTTGATCCTCATTATCATTGTTGCTAGTTTGATCATTATTATCCTCTTCTTGTGGTGATTCATCGTTGGCCTTCACTTCAGGCCCATTAGCGCCTCGAAAAAAGTCGTCCAAGTCATCAAAACCTTCATTATCTTTTTTTACGTCATTTTTTACTGTTATGCCTGTTTTCCTGGTTTCAATTAATTGGATAAAGGTGAGGAAACTCTTATCTTTTGTTGTCAAATTTCCACGTTTCTTCTCTTCCAAACTTTAATGACTTGAATTGTTTAAAAGAGTACCTTCCGCGAATTCCAACTTCTGTGTATCTGTTACCTCTTTGTCTTTTATTTTTTGCGTTATCGCTCGGCATTGAAAGGAAAAAAAACGCCTTTTGTGGGAAAGCTATTTACAAATTTTCTAAACAAGCAAAAATGTAGCGGTTATCGTTATATAAATATTTACATCGGTAATTTCACTTTGTCAAAAACCCCTCCCCTGGCGATCAGTACTACTGATCGTCATCCGCATAAAATTTTGTCATCGATCTGAACATCATATCAGATGAAAGCGATAACTTTGCATTTCAATAGACTAATGAAAATACAAATATGGGTTTTATAAATAGCGCTATGGCGGGACCCCAGATTTAATAGTAGTGGGGACTGAAAATATAACCTTAAAAATTTTAGGACCCGTTACCCTAACCCTACGTTCTTAGTAAATGGTGACCATGGCGTTATAACGCATATGCGATAAAATATAAAAATCCAAAAATATTACTAGAGTTAAAGAGAAAGAAATTGTATAAGGTAAATGTTTTTTAATACGAAAAAGATTGTGAAAAAGACATTTTAATTTAAATAAGATCAAAGAATATATAATGAATATAAAAAGAAAAGTTGATTAATAACATACACTCATGAAAACTAAAATCTAGCTTCTTCCCAAAGAGTCGCTCCAGAACAAGAACAAATTTTTTTCATATTCTCAAAAGCACCAGCACTACGGGCAATAATCCCCGCAATCAACCCCGGACCTGAATTACCATCAATCTTACTCTGCGGATTACCACCTTTTCCTAAATCATCCTCGTTCAAACTAATAACCATTGATCGTCCAATCAAATCCCAGACTTTAAGCTGACTACTTTCAATAACCAAATCACCGTGTCCGCGTTCATCGACTTCGATATTTCCCAAATCACCTGCGTGGCCTGTTGTCACGTCACCATGTTCCTTGTTTCCTGGGTTATAGTGTTCGCCGGTGCTTTGTGCACCTTGAGAAATGTTTCCTAGTTCGTGGATGTGAACGCCGTGATTACCTGGTGGAAAGTCTTCGACTGTAATGTCAATAAGACATATCTCACTGTCTATTTGTACAAAGCGAGCGAGCCCTTTAGGGTCATATTGTTTTTGTGGTTGTTGTATTAAATTAATATCAAAGGTGTAAGGCTCGAATATGCATACAGCTGCACCAGAATGTGCTCCTTTAAGAGAAAATACAAGAATCCTAGGTTAATTACTAACATTAAAAATAATAAATTATCCTCAATCATTATTCAATATACCTTTAGTAGTTCCTTGTCCGCGAACAATGACTTTCCTTCCAGAGTTTTTTAAAAGTTTTGATACTTTTGAAGGAGGGGCTACATAAGAATACAATATTAATTATTAATATAGAAAATTCGAGAGTAAAAAAATCAAAATTCACGTACCTGTTCCTTCTACAACCACGCGTTGTTCCTCGAGGTTAATATCAAAATGATCAACTCCTAAGTATGACTATATGAAAATGACCGAGTATAATAATAAAGACAATGATTATATAATACCTACCAGGAACTTCAGATAACACATTCTTGACTGCCTCAACGCAGTCTTTGCATGTCATTTGAACCGCATATTCTGTCTATTTAGTTTTTTATATGCATAATATTCAATTTTCTATTATGAATATGCTAGAAAAGGCATATTTCAAAATAAAATATACCTTGAATGTAGTTTTACTTTCCATTTTAAGGAATCACATCCAGTGAAATTTGATCTGGCAAAATTATTACAAAATTAAAGGATAACGTGCATTGCGTCATTAGCTACTACGTTAGCACATATGAAATCTGTGCCAGGTTTTATCGATCATTAGCCGCAGCACCTCGAATGGGGTGCCCGATCACCAGCCCGAATTAATAGTCGCAGTAAACTTTATATATATATATTTGTTGGCCAATCATTTTTCAGTATAAGAATTAATTGTTTTTTAGCACAAGAAATGTGCAAGTGTTAAAAAATGAACACATTACTATTATATTGAATAATAATATTCAAAGCTTTATTCAATATCATAATTTTGTCAAGAAATTTTATAATGATTTACTTAATAACTCGCTCAATAATTCATTCAATAACTCACTTAATACATATTATCAAGTTAATATTGTTGTATAATGACCTTTCATCATAATATTTCATATTATTGGATTATACATATTTCATATCTTATTGGATAAAAGTCAAATCACATGAAGCGAGCGAACAAGCAAACAAGTGAATGAACAAATGAATAACTAAATGAATGAGCAAATGAACAAATAAGCAAATACTGAAACCAATAAAATTAGTGAACATGAATTTGTATAGCTAACGAAATATAGTTTGAACATGTATAAAAGCAACATGTATCATAGTTATTAGAATTAGATATGAACAAGTTCTTTTAGATAGTAGTTCTCAATTATCACGTCTAATTAATTATCACATAGTTTTGATCATTCAAAGAAATAAAGTTTGCATTTTATATAGAGTAGGTAATCAAGCGCAAACTTCTCTCTACACCCTTTTGACAAAGTATTTATTTTCTTGTATAATAGCTTTATAAGAAGTTATACAGATCTTGAATTAATATATATTATAATAGCTTAAGCAAATTGCCAGGAGCACTATAAAAGTTATCATCTTTATCCTAGACTTTCTGAACATGTTGTAACAAAGTCTAGTAAACATTATATTAAATAAAGGAATTATTATTATAATTCATAAATCTGTCTTTGAAAATGTATTGCTAATAATACATTGTTCATACACTTATCTTCGATTTTGTATTGCTGATAATACAAATATTATATTTTATATTTGACCTTTTAAAGATTTAAAAATATTTTTAATACATATATTATATTTAACATTGAGATTTTGAGAACTTTCTTTAGCAATCCAGTTATTGCGTTAAAAGAACACAACTGTTACCAATCTTTAAGTGATCCTTATAAGTACTTATTATACTTTAACTTATATTCAGTCTAAAGTCATAAAGTATTATTAAGATTGTGAATTATTATTAAGACATTCAAGTTTCCTCTTTGAATATCATAAATATCCTTGAGTATTTCAAAGCTTCATTAAAATGATAACAAAATTTTGGTGCTCTCTCTGTGAATCAAAATTTCAAAAGCATTATTTTGAAAGCACTATTAGAACAATTATTAAATTCTTTGTGTGAATTGAAATTTTGAAACATTATCAAGTTCCGTTATAAAAAAATAATTATTAGTAAAAGAATTCTCTGTGAATTGAAATCTCAAAAGTATTATAAAACACCATTATAAAAGAATACTGAGTGAAAGAATATTAAATTTGTAAAATTAAAGGATATTGAGTAAAATATTTAAGTGACATAAAAGAATTTTTGATCAAATATTTACCAAAAGAATTCTCTGTGGATGAACAACTATTAACTCAAATTGGATCCAACAAAATTCACTAATGTTGAAATTAATAGATAATTTGAAGCTTTAAAAGATAAAGTAGATTTGAAAGAAAATCTTATCAGAACACAACTTAAAGAAATTAAAGATCAACTTGTGAATATCTTTAATATAATCTATATAAAAAATACAAATATTGAATCAGTAAATTAATTTAGAGATATATTAGAATAATATTCTCAACAAAATGAACAAGAAATTCAAATATATTTATATAATCTTCAACAAGAAATTACAGATTTTCTTGTACAAAGAGTAACTTATTGTAAACAACACAAAAACTTTGAGAAGAATTAATTAAATTACAAAATTCAGAAAATCAAATTGTAATTCAAGATAATTCATCTTTGCCAATACCAGAAGAAGATAATAAAAAATTAGAAGAAAAACAAGAAGTAAACAATGCTCAATTCAATAATAATCTTAATCAATTAACAACTACTATTGGTAATAATCAAGGAAGAGGAGAAGTAAAATTTGCAAAACTTATTAACTTCTATGATAATACTCAAGATCCTATCAGATGGCTCCAAGATTTTGAAAATGCAAGTCAAGCTAATAATATATCTGATCTTAGAAAATATCAAATTATTGGTACTATTATGATTGGAAATTTACATAATTTTTATAATTTTTATAATTTACATAACTTACATAACTTCTATAACTTTCATAATTTTAATAATTATTACAATTACAGTAATTACCATTATTTATAACAATTATCATAATTATCATAATTTACAATAATTATCATAATTATTACAACTTATATAGTATCTATTATTTATTAACTTATATAATTAATTATAAATATAATATTTATTAGTAAAAAATATTTATTATAAATAAAGTATAATTGAAGCTTTGAAAAAGGTATAAATTGATCAATACAAAAATCTAGCTTGTCAATAAACTGTTTCTTGTTTATTGTTAATAAAATTTGTATATTTAATTAATTGAATAATAACTTATTAAAATACTTGCATTTATTACGCATTATTGGACAACTGCCAAAGTTGCTATAGAATATTAGTACTGTATTGCTATAGGATTGTTTCACACCAAGTAGATATAACATCTATTAGTAATAGTGAGAGTCTATCTACAAGATAGAAGAAAACATACTGCATAGTGATCCTGAAGTATACTTATTACGATGAGATTGAGTAACCATAAAATTTTCATCATCAGACATTAATTGAATACTTACATCATGATAATACCTACCAGGAATCTGATTGTGATAGTGCATATTTGAAAGGATCTGCTGGAACATAATTAACTAGTAAAAGAGTCTTAGTAACAAATTGACCAACTCAATGGAATTCAAATGATCCTATCAATCTAGAAGATTTAGTAACTTCCTTTATCTATTAATTTAAATAAAAATTTAGAATTATTGATAAGATATATGAATAACAATAACAATTAAATCAATAAAAATAATTATTAACTGAAATAGTAGAACAATATTCTGTCACTGTAAGAGAATTACTTTGCCGTATTGATTCAAATAATGGATATCTAGAATATCTGAAAGAAATGATATTTATTGAAGGATTAAAGCCAGAAATAAAATTCTTTGTTAGTTCAACTTGACCAGTTACTCTAGATGATGCTATTCATACTGCTCAATTATATAAATCAAGCTATTAACAATTTACTGGTTTAAATATTATTAATACAACACCAATAATAAGTCTATTGAATATTCCAGTAATTCAACAGCCAATAGAGAATAACTTAAACCAAATCTCACAACAACTTGCAGCTTTGGCAACAAAATTAGAAAATTTGATAATTACAAATAACTGAAATCAAAATCATCAAGATAACAGATATAATAATAACAATAATAATAAAAATTATTCAAATAATTAATGAAGGAATAATTATAATAATAATAATAATTAGAATTATAATAATAATAATAATAATAACAACTTACCAATTGCTTGTTATAACTGTGATAAAATTGAACACATCACAGCAAAATACTTTAGCAAGAAAGATAATAATTATAATCAGTGCAATAATAATTATAACAACAATCGATATTCAAATAAAGATAATAATAATTGACAAAGCAATAATAATTGAAACAATAATCAAAATAACAATTGACAAAAGATTTTCTTGAATATTGAATAGTCTTTAAATTTCTAAATACACTTCCAGAAGATAAATGTGCATCAGCAAATAAAAACTCTTCAAACAAATAATTTTTAGAACAATTATTAATTAATAATAAATAGGAAAATAATTATAAACAAATACCTGTTGATGCTTTGCATTGTACTAGAAAAGTAGGAAAGAAAAATATTACAATCATAATTAATAGTAGAGCTGTTAGTAATATTGTATCCAAAGTATATTTGAACAAAATTAATTGAAAAATTCAAAAGCCAAGCAACATCAATTTAATTAGAATTAATGAAAATAAAAAATAACTGCTTGAAGAAATTATAGACTTACCAATAATCTTAGGAAATCAAAATCTGAACATTAATGCACTAGTAACTGAAAAAAGAAATTATAATCTCTTATTAGAAAATATTTGGGCTCATAATTATCAAGCAATTGTAGATTGAAAATGAAAAATTCTTACCTTTAAAATAGATAATCAAAAGAAAGAAATACCAGTATCTTGTCTTAAATGAAGAAATATAATAGAGAAACAAAATGAAGAAACTCTATTCACTCAAAAAGATGGTATTGAAATCAAAATTTATCTCAATAAACAGAAAGACAAAGAATCTGAAAAAGCACATAATACTAATGCTGAATTTAATCTAAAATTTCCAGAAGATAAATCATTAGAAGTGAAACCAAGAAAAATAACTTTTATTGATAGTCATATTGCAATGAAAATACTTATTGTCAACTTGTATCAAGATCATCTTTAATGAAACAAAGTATTGAAATAAAAGAAAAAATAATCAATGCTGAATATACTGAAAATATTGAAATAATACTTTACAATAATTCTGATTAAATATATATTATTCAACCAAATGAAAAGATTGCTTAAGTCATATTTTTACTATTAATAAAGATCTCAAACTTGAAGATTGTTAATTATTGAGAAGAATTAGGAAATTCAAAGATTCTTATATTAAGTAAATACAAAAAAATATTTATTAGTAATAGTGATATTCTATTTTATTAAAATAAAATAGAAGAAAATATATTACATATTAATTCTAAAGTAACTAGATCAAAATTAGTAAATTAAAAAACTGAAACAAATATTAATTGAATATTCATATTACAAGAATATTTATCAAAATCCAGAATTCATAATAATATTATTATAATAAACTTTTATAGTATTTAATTTTTGATAAGATAATATTTTGTTATATTAATACAAAATCTCTTTTTCTGATCATGTTATTGTATTAAGTATTCAATATATTAGTATTTATTATTATATATTATAATCAAACTTTTTTATAATTATTTTTCAAAAAAGCAAAATTTAGTAACTAAGAATGTGATTATAGAGAAATTTTTTTACTATATTTATATATAAATAAAAAAGCAAAACAATATGATTATAAAGAGATGTGACTATAAATAAATATAACTATAAAGAGATTTGACTGTATTTAATTACTTGTTATATTAAATATAATTATATATATATAATCAAATTTATTATTATTAGTTATATTATATAAAAATTCTGTTATAATTATACTTTTTTCAAGAACTAGCTATAATTTACAATTATATTTATGAAAAAATTATTATATATTTTTAGATAAAAAAATATAAAATCAATATAAATCAAAAATAATCAACTACAAAATTCTCTACAAAAATTTTTAGTCTTTAGATAGCAATAGCAATAACAACTACAAAATCAATAGTTGCAAGATTAATAATAAAATTAATTATTTTTACAACCTCTTTAGCAATACCAAACTCAAATATAATAAAGATAATGATAAATAAAATTATTATATCTTTAATAATTAGACAAATATATTAAAATAATCTTTATATAAACTCTTATTATTATATTTATATTACTTATTGATTTTTTAAGAGTACACATTTATATACACTCCTACACTATATTACCAGAAATTGAAAAAAAAATAGTAAAATTAATATTATTACTTTATATTAAAATTTATTATTTTATTAATAAATATTTTTTATTTTTATACTAAAATAAAGATGATAATTTATATTTTTAATATATATTCTTCTAGAATATTTTCTAGAATATTCTAGAATTTTTTATAATTTTCTGTTCACTTTTAAATATAGAAAAAAATTTTTTTATAATTAAAATTGCAATTTTTTTAATTTTAATTATAAAAAAATTTTTTTCTATATTTAAAAGTAAACAGAAAATTCTAAAATATTCTAGAAGAATATATATTAAAAATATAGAATTTTAGTATAAAAATAAAAAATATTTATTAATAAAATAACAAATTTTAATATAAAGCAATAATGTCAATTTTACTATGTTTTACTATATTTTTTTTAATTTCCAGTAATATAGTGTAGGAGTGTATATATATATAATTTTGAAATAATAAATTCTTTTCACATTTAATTTATTTAATTTGTTATACAAATATATATTTTCATTATTTTAATTTTATAATAATTTATATTCATTTATTTTTGTCAATTTTTAAAATAAATATATGATAGATCATTATTTATAAATACAATTATTCTAATATATACTTTACAATCAAATTTTTTAGTTATATTTTGTTATATTCAATACTGGATTAAATTATATTGGATTTATGAAATTATTAAATTCAATAATATAATACAGAATAATACAATATTGAATTATTTCTGATTGATAATACTAAATATGCCTATAACCAAATATCTTTCATATTGAATAATTATAATATTAAATAATTATAATATTGAATAATTATAATATTGAATAATTATAATATTAAATAATTATAATATAAAAGTATAATTAATTAATAATTATAGAAATTTAATTATAAAAGAGTGTGATTGTAAAGAGAAACTAGAATATATAAATTAAAATCAAAAATCAAAATTAACTATACAATTAGTAAAATATATTAAATAAAAATAAAAAAACAAAATCATATTTGGAAATAAATAATTTCACTATATTGATTATTTATTTTTTTAATTGAATAATGATTGGTATTTGATAACATAAGTTCTAAAAATGGTTTTTTCTGAAAGAATAACAACTGTGAAAACTGGTTAATCAAATAATCTTTAGATTGAACGTGAAACCCAAAGCTTATTATTTGCCTTTTCTCATGTGATTTTTTTTGGTGATGTTGATGGCAATTTTCCTGCTACTGGTTATCTCTACCGAAAGATTCCAGTTTACCAGAAATATAGCAACTTAATTGTATCGATATAAAATATGTTAGTTTTATTGGAATCCTAATCAATAAAGCAATAAATCATAACGATCAAAAGGTTAAAAAATTATAAATATCTTGAGAAATTTCTAACTGAAAGTACTGCATATTTCATTCTTAGAGTAAAAAAAACCTTGTTTAGTTAATAGGCCACCAGCCAAACCAGCCCAGTTGAATGGCCGTCTAAACAAAATTCCTGGCCAAATTTGATTATCAAAAATCAAACTACCAGCGGTATAGCTAACATCAACCATCCGACCAGTTTGATCGAATGGTTCTCAATAATATACTTCTCTACAAAAGCCCCTGTAATGAAACAATAAATGTTAAGGAACTTCTATTAAATATAATATATACTATGAAATCATATAAATAACATCTTACCATACATTAATTGACAAAATTTTCGTTCACACTGTTTTTCAAGTGCGTGCCCCATCGATTACATCTACCACATATTCAATTAAAGTGACATCGAACCAAAACCAAAAAAGTGACGTGCGATGTGTAATACCGAGCTTCTCGAGCAGTAAATGTTTTACCTTTAACAACTTAAGATAAAAATTAAAATAAATAATTTTTTTATAGAAAAATGTGAGATTTAAAATACTTGTTTCCTTCTTCAGCTTTACATTTAATATTTAGGTCATTTACAATACTATTCGCTTTTTTTTGTAATAAATATTGACTTTCTCGTTAATTCGCTCCACCTGATACACCAACAGTTGACTATTTGAATTTTGATTTCAAAAATTTGCTTATAATAAAAAAGTCATGTGATTCATTCCCCCTCAATTGTTAAATTATTTCTCATGTGTTATATATAAACGTTTCTACCATATATAATAATTTTTTGTTACAATCCTTTATTGTAATATACTTTATTGATAATGTCACCGTTTTTATTACGCAAACCCGAATATTCTGGCTCTAATTTTTTTGTATCAATTTCGGCTCGTTGTGGAAAAACGGCGATTGCAAGTGGAAGCGCGGTGATTGAGGATAGAGTTATTAGTCCTTTATTTTATGTTAAAAATTATTTCGTTAATTATTATTCAAAGACAAACAAATAATAAATAAATAAGTAAATGAATAAATGATTTATTTTACGATACCAAAATTTAATGGTAACAGGAATCTGGGATTCCTTTTCAGAAAATTCGTTTTTTCTAGCTGTGATAGTAACAATGGTGGGATGGTAAGAACCGGAGAGTTGTTTAAGACCCGGGATATTGCGACCTTATATGAAAATAGAAATTGGTAAGATGACACACGTTTTTCTTGAATAATCACATTATTACGAACAGAAAATAAAACTAACTTGTTTGACTGCTGAAGCTCCTGCTGCTTTAGATTTACCCAATACATTCCCATCCTCATCGCATACATCAATCCCATTTCTTTAAAAAAAAGAAACAATCAATCTAATCCATATCACATATCACAACAAACACAATTCCGTCGATTACCAAAGAAAATGAATTTACCTGATCTCTTTTAACCTCATCAAATAAACGTTAACAGTCCCGGCGCTAGCAACAGCCACAAAAGGCACCAGGCGACTCAATAAACTTCGAGCTGCTGGTTTCAAGAATCTTAGTCGAGGTACTAATTGTGTGAGGCCTACTGCCAACCCGCACGATGTTGTTACTGCCGAGGTGTAGGCGACTTTTTGATTTTTTTATTGGTCGTATATTAATTAAATATGCTACATGAATGAATACTCATGCGTAATAGAATAAACTTACTAGCCGTCTCGCCATAATCCATCTTTATGGTTTTATTCGCATGCGAATAATTAAACGCCACGTTTATACTTTGATTGGCCCATTGCCAGAATATCATACTTTTCATCTATTATTTTATTATTTATGCGATCGTATATTAGAAATAGAGAAAAAGACGAATAATTAATAATTAACTTACACTCGGATTAGGCATCAGCATGCCAGCCACAACCACAAGATTAGTCGGCACAAAACAAGACATACGAAATGGTAAGAACACAGCCTCGCCTGTGTCTGGATGAATAGTTGATTCCACGACTTTTTCAAAAATTTTCAAGAAAAACAATATAAAGGATTATTTTACCATCTCCTTTTAACTCACTCGCAAGAATCACTTATATACACATACTCTTTTTAGCTCGCCATAATTTCTCTGGATCTACACCCTTAATTTTTTCAATTTGGTAGTCGTTGATTAATTTCTTTGCGTCGTCCAAACCTTTTTGAGAGACAAATAGTGTTCTATGAACAAAAAAATTCCAATGCCAAATCCAAATTCGAATACATACAATCAATTAATTTTATCTAAAACCAATAAAAAGACCAAGACGAATATGATTAATACCTCGGATCCGTGATATCCATAAAGTGCCTTACACGTCCAAGATATGTGGATTGGTCGTATCGTGGTTTAGCTTTTTTTTTGTATTTAAATTTTTATGAAGAATTAATTAAATCGAGATAGGGTTATATTTTTATTATTATTATTATTTGTATTGCTACTGCTATTACTACGACTACTATTATTATGAATATGATTATGATTATTATTAATCATAATAAAAAAATTATAATAATAATCATAATAGTAACTATAATAATCATAATAATAATAATAATAATAATCACAATAATAATCATAATCATAATAATAATCATAATCATCATAATTATGAATATGATTATGATTATGAATATGATTATGATTATGATTATGATTATTATTTATGATGATAATGATGAATTATTATTGTTATGATTATTATAGTCAAACTTCGTTAAACCGAAGCACTAATTAAAACCTTGCTAAACCGAAGTTTGCTCCAGGAACAGTTATAGTAAATCCCCCTCGATAAACTGAATTTACTAAATTTACTAAATAAACCTTGATAAGCCGAATTTTTAAACTTTCGGTTTAACGGAGTTGACTATGAAATATGATTATTATGATTATTATGATTATTATTATTATTATTATAAGAAATCAACAACATACAAAGATCAATATTATCGTTATTAATTCTATTTCTTTCCATCGATGGCACAATATCCGTTGCAAGCTTACTGGTAGTCATTTATTATGTTATTATTATTAAAAAAATAAAAAATCCAAGAATTTGAAAATAAAAATTTGAAAATTTGAAAATAATCAATTTTTAGTGAAAATGTCTTTCTATAGTTGTAATAACCGTTAGCCATAATTGCCAATAATTGCTCCATATTTATATGGAATAATTAATTAATCTATATACCGTCATCAAAATGTGAAAGGATTGCGAGAAAGATATAGATATAATCGATCTTTCAAAAAAAATAATATCTGTTTTTCTGTCGTGTTACCGTTTACTTCATATGGGCTGGTTTGATTTAGATTTGGTCCAATTTTGGTCTTTTTATATTTTATATATATATATTATATTATCGTTATTCATAGTCACGGATTAGCTGAATTCATTATATCACGAGATTCACTATAACAAGCTTCGCTTCAGAACAAAGCTGTCTTTTAGACAAGATTTTGAAAATTGTGATTTTTAGACAAGTTGTCTAAAAATATAAAGGAAGAAAGTAATACAAAATCTAAAGCACTCAATATCTTTATTAATTGATATAAGGATCCACAATATTTTTAGACAAATTGTTATAAACTAAGATTTTACATATTCTTATCTCAAATATTTTTTCTCACGCTGTTTAATTGTATAAAAGACAGCCTTGTTTCAGAGTATCGGGGACGATGAATCTCTATCCTAATGCAGAGATGATGATTTTTGCTGAATTTATGTATTTTATATCATAATTTCACAATCATATGATAAACTCATTACAGTCAAACTTGGATATAACGAAGTGTTCGGGCTGTTAGTAAAAAATTCTGTAAAATTCTGTTTATTTACTATATATAACTGTTCTCAGAGCTAACTTCAGTTTATCCGTGCTTCGTTTTGACTGTATTTTATAAATTCAATTAACTTGAACAGATTAAATTTATTGATGTTGTGCTATTGAATTTTCCCTTCACGTGCGATTTTCCCGGCCACAACAATAACCCGAAACATTCCGCACTAATTAAAGGTTAGGGTTAGAGTTGGAGTAAGGTTATATGTAAAATTGCCTTCCCGTCATTTTTTATTAGTGTTCCAAGTTAGATTTAGGCATCTGTTTCCCGTATTTTTTGCATTTCAGAGAGCGGTTAGTGTAGTCAATCACGTGATATATATTAAAAGGTAATTTTAACGTTAGGGTTAGAGTTGGAAAGAAAATCAAGGTTATATATAAAATTGCCTTCCCGACATTTTTAATTAGTGCTTCAAGATAGATTAAGCACCCGTTTGCCGTATTTTTTGTCTCTGTTTCAAATTTGGTTTGCATTCTCATTGATTTGTTTTTCGAACAGATTATCGAATGGACTACGCTTTAACCGATTTCCTCCACTAAATCCGGATAGTATCATGTGAGTTTGGATTCGATCCGGATTCACATCATGTGAAAAAATTCACGTGATAAGTAATGATTGCAATTCACAATAAATAATAGTAATAAACACAAAATTATAAAATTAATTGATTTTTAATTTTGTAAAATAAATTATTATAATATAATTTTAATAATTTATTTAAATATTGTTATGATATGACTTTACATATTATAATTTTTATTAATTATTTCATTCTATTATCTTATTGGTTATATTTATCACATGATTTATCTTCTATTTCTTTAATTTTATTGATTTATTATTTTTAGAAACATTAAGTTTCACATTTTAATTATTTAATACTCGTATCAATACTTTAATGTAATACATTC